AATGCCCATTGGAAACAAAACAAAAATATTCAAATATTTAAACAATGTCTTTCCTCCTCCTGTTTCTCTGACAAATTCACTCCTTCACTTCAGACCCATTTACACCTGCCTTTAGTGGCACAAGGAGGATGGGGAGTGTGGGTTATGGTCAGTACACAGTGATTTCCCTCTGCTGTTCTTTACTTCTCCCTCTTTTACCCTGCCCCAACATGGGCACTCTGCAGGTCACAGTTTCTTCAGGAACAGCCACCTGCTGTGGCCTGAGGTTTTCCATGGGCTACAGTGTGGATATCTGCCCCAGCATGGTTCTCCATGGGCTACAGGGGATATCTTTTCTGTTATGGAGTACTTCCTTTCCTTCTAACCTTGGTGTTCCTTGTCCTGTTTCTCTCTCTTTTGTGTTAGATTTTTTTCTTTCTATTTTTAGTTCCTCCTCTGCCTGTCCATGTAACCAGAAAAGGCAAACTATTCCTCAGAGAATTTTCTTTAGTCATGTGAAAACTGTAATGAATACTTGAACTGAACTGGGGGCAGACATATTGACTTGGTGTTCCTGTTGTTGTCAAAGAGGCAAGGCATGGGATTTTAAGTGGTCTTTATCACTATTATTATATTCTATGAATTAAAACTCTCGTATGAGACCAGAAATCAGTTCAACTTGTATTTACTGACGATAAGTTTGCACTGGATATCTATCCCAAGAATCCAGGAAGTGTAGCCGAAAAAAATGGTATCTGCTCTGTGGTGGTGATGTATCATGTACTATAAAAACTGCTGCTGTTAGGCCTCTATCTATGCAAAAAAAAAAAAGAGGAATGATAAGATGTATTTTGAATATGAACTATGCTTCTCTTTGGGGCGGGAAACATTACTTCGGGAATAATAATTCTAAAATTTAACGGATTGTTAAAAATGTCATATCTAATACTCTTTAGTTTGTGCTCATGCATTAAACTTTATTTAAAGATTTCTAATTGAGTAAACTGAATAGTATTATATTGACCTAGCTATATAGAAGGGCTACATAGAAGGCTAGCTATAGAAAAGCTAGATATATAGAAGATTAAAGAACAATCTCTTTGCATATAGTATTTTCTACATTTTTATTCAGTTAAAGTATCATGCAATACGTTCAAGAACAAATAGAAATGTACTAACCTTTGTAAAGAAAACTCAAAAATTACTTCAATTTCAGCTTTCCACATCTGAATTTAAAAAAAGAGGGAAATACCAGGAAAATTACAATTATTGAAAAAACACAACAAAGAAAAAAGAAATTATGTGGATATAAAATGATCTTCACAAAAGAAAAAGAAATCAGTACTATTATTAAAGAATTAAAGATTCATTCAAATTTCAAGGGACTTTGGGAAATAACCCACTCCAAAGTCCTAGTCAGAGCATGCACACTGAATTCAGGCTATCTTTGTCAGGGTATTTTTTCATTCAAGCCTTGGGAAAAATTACCTGGATTTAATTATCCTCATGGTGATTTTTCTCCCCTCCCTTACATCCAGCCCAGGCTTTCCTTGTACTTTTTAAAAAGAATTTTCTTCAAACTGTATTCCAAGTTCCTCTTCAGTTTGAGTACACTGGATGCATATAATGACTATGTAAAATCCAGGAATCTCATGATATCATAAAGGCCAAACAGTGAAACACTATTACTCCATTTTTTTTTTCTTGGACAAAACTTTACTTATGTAAATTTTTTCAAAAAATTAGAACATACTGGCATGGGTCAAGCATATCAGGCAATAAAAATTCATACCCTGCATTGCCTCCCACACATTCCCTTAAAATATTTTCATTCTGAGCAAAGACATCGCATCAGGAGCTAATCATTTTAAGTGTGAAGTAACACATTCAGTAAGACTGAATAAGATTTTTAAGTCATCGAGTTTTGATCTGCATAACTTAGGTTCTAAGAATTAATTCTTGTTTCAAATACATCAAAGTATTCATTCTCTGACTAAAACTGTTGAAGATGAGGAGTTCCATACAAGGTCTTGTAAAATCTTCAGTGTTTTAAGCTGCCTGAAAATCCTGCACAGCATTTTCTGTTGAATGATACAAATATTTTTTTTACACCATTTTCAGCATTTTAACTGTCCTACTTTGCAGTTTTACTACTCAGGCAAATTTCTTATTGTCTGAAATTAAATCATCTCATACATCTATTGCCATTTGACTAAAAAGATTGAACTAATGGTCTTTCTCACAAGTCTGTAATATTTTTGAACTTTTGAAGTGGGCAAGTGGGACGACAATTTTTATTGTGCTGAAATACCAAAGACCATGGAAAAATGAGTAGCGATGATCCTGTGTATCCTCTGTGCAAAGGAGATATATATATCTACATTAAAATTCCAAACGCATTTACTACAGGGAGGACATCATTAACCTCAAGAGCATGAGGTCATGGGCTTTCTTGTGTCCACACTCCTAGCCAATGCTAGCACATGCAGTACTTGATCTTGTGTCCTCCTTTAGGATTATATATTACATATATTTTATATATTTCCCGTGTTACTAAAACAAAAATACTATTTTTCAGTATGTAATTCATTAGGTAAAAACAAATGAAAACATGTGAAGATTGTTTTTTAAAGCACCAAAGTGTCATTTTTTATTATAATGCTGAGTATATATTCCAGATCCTGAAGTGTAACAGCATACTGGTTGTTTTGAGGTTTCAAAGGTTTTGTGGGAATAATCAATTAAAACATAACTCGGTTTCATTCACTCCACACTTAATGAAGTACTGGACTATGCATGTAAGATCATGGGGAAAACTATTTGGACCAGTCCATGCAGAATGAGTCAGGAAGCTAATAATGAGAGATAAGAAAAGTCAGACTTCTAATGACTGAGCTCTCTCCAAATAAATGTTTTTCTACCAGTATGGACAACCCTGTAAATTTTAATCTGAAAAGTCATAGGAAAGCAAAATAAATCATACAAAACAAAAAGGGGAAAAGAAAGATACTTCTTGGAGTATCTCTGCTGTCTTTGGTATCTTAAGGAAGACATTGTGTTTGAAGAGTTAATAATCTTGAGCAAGACCTGACAGTCATTTTGGGCCCAGTGCTAGGGCCTGAGCTAGCCCTAGGCTAACATGAGTGACCACTATATAGCCCCAGGTATATATCAATAAAGGGAAGTTTGCAAACTTTCTGGAAGGCCCTGAATATATGTAATTTCTGGCTACATTTCTTAAATACATGTAGTTAGATCTGCTCTGGTGGGCATTAGGAAGGAGATGGCTCCCCTACTCAACAACAACAAAAAACCAAACTAAACAAACCAAAATGATAATTTTGTTTGATGTAGTAGCTATAAAGGGTTAGAGTACTGCAGACGGCAAGGAAGGTGACCCATGAATCGGATCTGCACAGCATGAAGTGGATGTCCACTAAGGGAGATAAGTTTTCTTTCAGAAAACTGAAGTAAGGTGTCTTCTGTTTTATTTCAAACAGCATTATTGAGCACCTTTAACAGTTCATACAATCCAGTTTGTGAGAAGAATGAAACTTAAGGATCAAAATAAGACATACAAGTCTGACCAGAGTGTTTGGAAAAGGGAATAAAATGGAGAACTTATTTCTTTAAAAAGAAGGTAAACTAGGTAAGAATGTTGGCTTAAACGACATAACCTGCCACCTCTATTTGAGTAAATTTCAGAACCTGCGGACAGAATATCCAAGTCCTTAAATAAGGTCAGTTGATGTCAAATATACTTCTTTAGAATCAAAGGATAATGATCATGAATAAAGTAGGTCTTTAAATACATTTTGGCAGAAAAACTTGACATTGATAACAGAAAGATACAGAACTTGACTCACTGCTTCCTTAGAGCTCTGTTGTTGTTTACACCTATCTAAATGATAACAGATATCACAAGTATTTAAAGATATATTCTGAAGTTCAAGGTGGTGGACAAATGTACTAAATGAGTCCTGAATTGTAAAGAAATTGAAAATTCAGTTGTCACAAACCTGAGGCTCCAGTTCTTAGCAGATTGGAACACTTACTGGAAAGTTTTAAAGAGAGAAATAGACTAATGACATAATTAGTATGATGTTATCAATGAATCAATATGTGAGAAATAGTAATTCTGCATACAATAGGTTATATTCTCTGATAGTTTTTTACATTGCTGTAAACTTTTGAGTCCACAGAACTTTGGCAACCTCAGTTTCTACAGAGAAAATGTGTTACTTTAAGATGCATGTGTAAACTTCGCAAGATTATAGTGTCTACTTTTAACATAAAAGACATTGCACCTTCTGACCTGAAGACTATTTTAGACTTTCTTTAGAAATTCAAGTACTTTTTCTAAAACCAATTATGTATGTTCTTCAATTTTGAGCTTAGAACATCCATCAAGAGGGCATAAGAGCCAAAATTACTGACATGAAATTTGAACACTTTTCTTGGAGGATACTTAACCGTTTTCATAGCAGTTTTTCAGCTTTTCATTTACTGTCATGATATTGACTTTTCTAGGCAATAGTGCATATTATTCCAGAAAATAATTTTATTCTTAATTATGTAAGAGATATTGTATATTGCTGTTTCTTACTATCCTCTAATATCTTTTACAATGAGATTTTCATCTGCAAAGGGACAAAAAAAAAGGAAACGTAAGAAATTAATCTAAAAAAATCCATTTATAGCTTTAAAAACTACAATATTCAATACATTGTAATCTTTGTGTCTAGAGTATACTGCTATCCAAAATGAATATGCTAATAAATGAGGAATCCAGTGAAACCTATTGTGGAGCCATTCAGACTGTGAACAAAATGCTTTCACATCATATGCTTGGAGATGCATTTGTTAAGGCACTATTCATCATAAAACAAGACATACATGATTTCATCATAATTAAATATAAGCATTCATATTCATGGAGTCTTCAACAAGAAGGACAGGAATGTGCCTATTTTGGTTTCTTCTCTGTCCATAATTAATAATTTGTTCTTCATTATTTTCAGATGCTGAACTAAGACATAGAAGAAGTCCAGACTCAGGTTGGTTTTTACTTTTCGTGTTGTATTCAACAAGCTCTTAATCTAATTGTATGCTAACTCATTCATCTGTAGAATGTGTTCAGTAGTGACCTACACTCATAAAAGAGTTAAGAAATTCAGTGAAATTTTTATGTAATCACAGTTTTCAGGGACTGAAAGATGTAATTTCCATCATTGTGGAGTACCAATAGGAATTCTATAAAACTGAAACGTCCTCTGCTAATTAAGCATTATTGTTCCCTGACTGTCTTTCAGAAAGCATGAGGATGGAAGGATATGCCTACAGCATCCCCTTGAAAATTATTGTTAATGTAAAAATACAAAAAAATCATGCTTTCAAAAAAAAAGTATAAAGGAAGAGTCACTTGGACTGATACATACAATTAAAGTGGTGTTTAAACCAAAAAGGATATTTTACTAACTGCAGGACCACAGCTATACAGAAGGCAGTTCATTTAGTTACTAAGATGTTATCTTACTAAAAATCTGAGAAGAAAGGTCCCAGAGGTCTTTGAGATACTTACAAATGTAGCAACAAGGGTAGTGTAAGACATGAGAGTGAGAGCCTTACACAAATTTGGAAAAAAATTTACACTCCTTCTTTCACTGAAATAAATATAGAGAATGGTCTGGTAATTAAAATAATGAAGTTATTTGATTATTTTCTTGTTTGCTTTGGTTTGATTTCCATCTTTGTAGGAAAAGAAAAAAGAAAAAATATTTAAGAACAAATTTCCTGGATGATATTCTGAAAATATACAATATTTCATTGTTTTTTTTTCTAGTTCCTTAAAAGAAAGATTAACTATGTGGTATCTTGTTTTCTCCATGAAGATTAACATGAATACTATAGGCAAAGTTCTCTGCATTTTTCATTTATCATTCATACATGTAAAACTTAAATTTTATTCCTTCTATAAAGGATTTCATATCCTGCAGAAAGTATTTCAGTGTATCATAATAACACCCTGAAGATATGACAGTATTTTCCTTGTCAATAAGGAAAAACTCTGCTTTACTATATTTGTTGTTGCCCTAAATATAGTAGGGTTCTTTTTCCTCTAATAGAATAAAGTGTCCCTTTCATCTTCTTTAAAAGTAAGACACTTGGAAATCTTCCTTTTGGAAAATACTTCCCTGCAGAATAGCAGTCTGTAGCAGTCATCATTGCTAGGGAATGCTGACTCTGTATGTAGACTGGTTTTCAAATTACAAGTACTTGATAAGCTTTCAAAAATATGGCTATTAAAACATAATAGCTATTTTAACATAAAGCTTAGTAATGAAAAAATTGAAAACTGGTAATTTTTTTTTCTACATCATAATGCTAATTTATTAGTATTGTTAGTGTTATTGAGGCAAAGTGTTTGTTTTGTTGTTTTTTTTTTTTTAATTGGATTTTTTTCTCTCCAAAGATTAACTATATTTTTGAAGTATATTGACTTAAAATATGCTTGGAAGAGAGAATTTTAAGCGACCATTAAGGAAGAGTCAAGTCCTTGAACTTACCATAGCCCCTCCTGCATACATCTTGAGACCCATGAACAAAAAGGTATCGATAAAACTGAAAGGGATGATAAGAACCAAATATTCAATATAAGAGGAATTTATATATATATATACATATACACATGTATATATATATAATGTCAGCAAGTTTTCCACTCAAGACTGTTTGGGTTTTTTTTTTATTACAGTAGAGCAGTTATGATATATTCTGTGAACCTATGAGATTGTTTAGTTAAGATCTCAGATCAGACTCTCTTAATACCTCCATGTCCCAGTGTGCCAAGGTAAAGTTTAAGCTCTAGTAAATGTTAAAAGATACTAAACAAATATAAAATTTTAAAAAGCAATTAAATCAGGCTTTTTCAGAAATTGTTGCACTGGTAGAGAGCTTTCTCACTTCCCCAAGATCTTTTGGTGCATTATGTCTATATGTCTAGAGGTGTATTTTTGTCCTTGCTTTGATATATATATAAAAAAAATATATATACACACACTTTTGATTAGACTAATCTTGTATTTGCACAACAATATACACTATATTCATTTTTTGCAACCTACAGACTATGACGTAGACAGCAGCATTTTTCAGACCTCAACAGACTTCCTGTAGCTGCGATAGAATTCTGGTTTTAGCTGTTTTCAAAGGCTTTACTAAAAACTTGCTTTTCCTATTGTTTTGGAATGAAAACATAAATTTGAAAGTATACCAGAAGTGAGAAATTATTCTGAAAATTATATGAAGCTAGTTCTAAATAAATCTTCCCTTCCACAAGACACTGGAATTTCAACATATGTTTTGTATTCTAGGAATAGGAAAAATCAACAATGACATTTTCTGGAATGATTATTAGTATTACTGACTGAAAACAGATTTAAAACTATAACATGGACAGTTGTTCAATGACATAATACTCAATTTTTTAAGAACATGAAGTATTTTTGAGGATTATGTAAAAACAATGAGGAAAACACAAGCAAAATAAGCACAGCATGTAAAACAATATGTCCTTTCTACAAAATTCTGCAGTCATCCCACAACGTTGTATGGATTAAACTGTAAATTATAATTTTCTACAAAGTAGAGAGTGAGAATCATATACTAACATTAACTCTTTCAAAATACTAACCACAGATAATTTTTCTGGGAGTCTAAAAGGAGCTAGATAAGGAGCTTTGGAGTAATGCTTGTAGATGGGACCTAACGGCATCCTTAAACGTTTCCTGAGTTGCCTTTCCCTTTTTCCAAAGCTGATACACCCTCTTTTTTTACCCTGAGTTCCTGTGCATGCTTCCTGCTCAGCCAGGCCAGTCTTCTTCCCCAACATCTTGAGACAGCCTGCTCCTGCACCTTCAAGATTTCTTCTTAAAGTACGTCCAGCCTTCTTGGGTCCCTTGGTTTTGGTTGTTTAGAAATCAAACTGTTGTTGGAGGAAAAGGATGAACCAACAGCAGTTCCCCTCTGTCTTCTGCATTCATTCTCTGCCTTTATTAAGAATATGAACAAATCGAGACCTACCCTCAAGATGTTATCAGAACTGTTTTAACTTGACCCTGTAGAGGTTATGGGTGGAAGAACACTGTACTTTAGGAGGTAGTGATTTCCAAAAAGGTTAACCTGAGCAGGCCCAGGCCTGTGTTGTACTGTGCTGCATGTACAGCCTGGCTTTAAAGTCTGTGCTGTGCAGTATAAATCCCATTTCTGCATGATAACCTAAATCAGTTAACAGGCAGCTCCCACTTGTTACTGACGATTATATGACCTGCGTGGCCTTACCTTTATCTAAGTATACAGAAAGAAGTTTTCATGAGGACATAATTTCTATTTTAATTGTAGAGGGGAAAAAAGAGTTGTTTCCTCATAAAAAAATCTAATCATAGTTTGAATGTTAAAAAAGGAGAAGCTCTGCTATGGACAGGGTCGGCAAGGTGTACTGCACAAGGAATCCTGTTTGATTCTGCACTGCTTGAGGCAGAGTGCAGACTACTGCAGAGTGTTAGCTCTAATAAATAGCATTTTAAATGGTAACTTAAAAAGTCTAAGTGGCTTTCTATGGGAATCATAACGAATAATGCCCTTTTCCTAACACATTGTTTAACATAGCTAGTATTAATGAAGCATAACTATCCCTGCAGTGCAGGTCTGACATTTTCCTATGAACTTGGATATCCACAGATGTAAAACTAAGTTCACATAACAGCACAGGTATTAGGTCTTTGCCCGCAGGAAACACCAGATAATTAAAGTTTGCTTACACATCTTCCTTAGAGACTTTCCTTTTGTTCCTGCCTGTATGTTGCTCACTTTATTCCTTTTATCTTTTCCTCTGAAGAATCTAATTATTCTTGATTTAATCCTACCTGTGTAGGCATAAACCTCATGCTTTTTTCATAAATCTTGTTGAACAGAGAGAATACTTCTTTATAATGGTTCTTAGGCTGGCTTATATCAATGATCCTGTTGCTGAAGAGGCAGATTGGTGCCATACAATCCTCTCACTTTGAAACCATTGTGCTTGTGAGTATCTTGTATCCTCTGAAAAGCAATGGGGGGGAGGTTTATGTGCCATGATGATTATCAGATGGTTAGGCTGGGGCAGCCCTGGAACTAAGGGCAAGAGGGCGAACAACCTGAAAGCCTACAGTCAGGACAAAGGCGTCAGAACTGGAGAAGTGAGATGACAGAAATAAAGAAGTGCACGGCTCCAAATTTTGTGTTTGGCTAATGTAGGAATGTCATCGTTTGGTCCCTGGCTAATGTACATGTGTGGTGGAATAATAGAGTAAATGTGATGGATATGCACATAGAAAGTCTTAAAGACACACTTGGTGCTATAAGGGCAGCAGGATAGGTACTACCAGCTAGAACACTCTGTGCCACATGTCATGAATGTATAAAGAAGAATACAATCCTTCAAGTGTTTTCCTGGACAAAATGGTATAAAACGCAGTGCCTCTAGGATTTAAGCTGTAAACAAAAGGGAAAAAAAAGATGACAACCAGTATAAGGTAAAATTGATAAAGTTCTGAAGCTGACAATAGAAGCATCTCTAAATTTTCTTTATGCAGCAAATACTACTCTATTATAAACTACCTCTTTTCTGCCTATGAAGAGCCTTTAGCAAAATCTCTTTTGGACACAGTCATCAAAGTCCTGTAAGAACAATGGAAAATTAGTTACTTAAATAGATGGAGCCAGATCCTGTAACTGTGCTTTTCTTGGAGTTTTGAATGATCTAATGTAAAAAGGGAAAGTGTGATTTGAGAGATTAGTTTCAAACCCGAGCTCTTGCAATTTTTTATTCCACAGAATTTGTATTCCCAGACCTGAATATAACTTAACTTTTTGTTTCTCTAGTATTCATTTTATTTCCTTCATATATGTAATTACCAAGTTTTCTGCTTTACCAAAATCACATAGAATATAGCTGGTTCTAGAAAAAAATTATTTTTGTTTTATGGATAACAAATGAGAAGAAATGCAGGATTGTGAT